GAGGGAACAAAAATGGTCAGAAGGCTGGAGCACCTCTGCTACGAAAACAAGCTGAGAGTTGGGGTTGTTCAGCCTGGAGAAGAGAAGGCTATGGGGAGACCTTGTTGCTGCCTTTCAATATATAAGGAAGGCTTTTAAGAAAGATGGGAAGAGACTTTTCACTAGAGCCAGCAGTGACAGGACAAGGGGCGCCAGTTTTAAACTGAAAGAGGGTAGATCTAGACTGAACATAAGGGAGAATGTTCTGGGCTTGGAACTAGATGATCTTGAAGGTCCCTTCTAGCCCAAATTATTCTATGAATCTATGATTCTAAGGAATTCTTTATGATAAGGGTGGTGAGGCGCTGGCACAGGTTGCCCAGAGAAGCTGTGGCTGCCCCATCCCTGGCGGTGTTCAAGGATGGGTTTTTCAGCAACCTGATCTAGTGGAAGGTGTCTCTGCCCACGGCAGGGAATTGGATGTGATGATCTTTAAAGATCCCTTCCAGTGAAAACCATTCTGTGATGCTATGACTACAGGTATTTAAAGCTATGAGCATAGCTCCAACATGGCAAAGCAGTCATGTAAGTACAGAGAAATGCTATTCTTAACAGTGAAACTAACTTCCTGATTTTTCCCTGTACGTTTGTTTCCTCTTCTGTTAGACAATATTCTCCACATGCTCAGATTAACTTAGCCCCATGGATTTCAACTGACAGCACATGCAGGAAATGTTGCTCTAGGGCAGCCTGAGGAACTCATGGTCTACCAGACAGCTGAGAATTGTGAAAGCACTTGAAGTTGCCAGATGCAGAATAATCTTTTCCTTGTACCTCCATCCAGCTTACGTTTTTTCCACTTGGAACTTCTTCTCACTGTAAACACACTTTGCCTTGCTACATCTCCTTTCAAAAGGAAATTCATGTATTTTCTTTCATTGTGGTTGGTCATTCACTAGTGAGATATACAGTGAGCTCCAAGCTGAGTAATCTGTCTCTTAAGGACGTGCATTGCCCATGTAAAAGAATCTGTCATCCTGCTTACTGGCCATGACTCAATGATGCTCATAAAACTGAGACTACAGCAGCAGATAGAAGTCATTAGAAAAGTGCCATTCTGATCTCTCACACACATTGAACTCCCTCTTTGCCTCCAAGTTAAGCAATTCACAAAAAAAACTGTTTGCTTTCTTGCCATAGCAACATTATTTTCCTGTGATCAGTGCAACAGGTCCACAAATGGATGATGTTTGCCAAGTGTCACAACATGGGAGAGAGATGTGACAGCTCTTTCATTGGAGCAAGAAACAGAACGACTTTTACCAGTGCCTTTGACAACATGTCACTTGGAAGAAAAGACCACACTGTGACCAAATTTTGCAATTCCAGGAAATTAGTTTTCCATTTATATTTTAACTCAAGTTTGAATGAAAATTAATTTTAAGAGGCAAAAGAAAAAAAAAGTGAAGGAAGGAAGCTTCCCCACGTTTGCCACAAAGAAGGTAATAATAAACAAAGAGAAAGCTGGAATACATGATACATGGTACTAAAAATGCATAAACAAAACCAACAACAAAAAAAACCCAAACACAACAAAGCAATGCCCAAAAAGGAAAGAAAGAAAGGAAAGGCAGTCAACTGCTTCTTCCAAGTTTTAGGAAGTAGTGAAAGCAAGGATGCCAGGACTGGTCCCTAAAGTGTTTAAAAGCAGGCTGATGATTTTCAGTGTCACATGAATAGTCATGAACTGGAAGGAACACAAATGTCCTTCTGAGGACCAGAAGTGAGGACTAGGAGTACATATGCAGACCTAATCACAAAGCTACTGAAGGCATGTACATAGTTTTGCACATCTGAGCTTCCAGCAAAATACTTGTTGAACATATGTAAAACCATCTGCAGGACTGGAAGGTAACAGCTAAATGTCGTGGTGTTACAAACTGCATCCATCAAGCACCTGGCTCCTTTCTGAACATTGGTTATTCTTTTTTTCTTGTTTACCACAACTGGTTACCACTGAAGTTTGCAACTTGGCCCAAACTATAAGCCTTGTTCCAGCTTCTAGAGCTTTCATGCACTTTATATCAGACGGTGAATAAAAGCAAAACCAGGGGACCCAGCAACGTACAACATACTGTCCACTGTGCTGAAGAAGGCAGCTCTCTCTCCCTTGGTGAGCTCCAAGGCTATTGCTCCCTGATGGCCCCTGCCTGGCCAATGGTGCAGGGAGCAAAGATGCCCTTCCCAGACTGCTCATCCAGGGTGAGGGTTTGCCTACTCCCACTGTGTTGTTTTGGGCAAAAAGCAGAATTGAAACCTGGTGTCCCAGTTCCTGGCAGAGCATGGTGACTGTCAGGCAGTTGTGCAAGGCTGGACAGCACCAAGCTGCCAGTGGTTTTAACAGGAGTGATCTAACCTGCCAGGCTTTGTGTCTTGATGCTGTGCACGTCACTTTTGCCTGGGGCATGACTAATGCCGCGGGTTACTCTGCTGCCTGGGGAGTATCACTGCAACCCAGAGTTTCTGACTGTTTTGTTTAACTTAGCTTTCAAACTGAGCATAAAAATGGACGATGCACATCCTTGCAGTCTGTGTGTGCCTCAATTAAAACAGGAGCAGCAGTAGGACCATGTCTCCTCCTTGCCTGAGTCTGCAGTAGCATCCCCTATAAGTCTGTTCTTCACTAAAACCACTCTCACAGTTACCATTTGTCTCACGCCAAACTAAGAATTTTAGCCCAAACCAAAGATTTTTTAAAACATTTGAACTCTGAAATATTTGGTCTGGGACCAACCCACAACAGGGAGTGATTTTTTTATTTGGTCACTGAATCAGAAAATCACGTCTTAGAATTCCCAATTCCCTAGCCACACACAGACAATAACAGACAGGGTATGCGCAGGAGCACGAATATGGTGAGTTATTTATACAACCCTGAAATTTAAAGAGGACCAATCTTCTTACAGTGAACCACATTATATTTAAGATGAAACAAACACTGTGGGGTGAGGGGGAAGGTTGGGAGGCTGAAATTGGACAATCCAGACTTAAAATCATAGAATCATAGAATAGTTAGGGTTGGAAAGGACCTTAAGATCATCTAGTTCCAACCCCCCTGCCAGGAGCAGGGACACCACACACTAAACTATGTCGCCCAAGGCTCTGTCCAACCTGGCCTTGAACACTGCCAGGGTTGGAGCATCCAGAATCCATATAACTCAGATACATGGATTCAAGTACACCCTGAGTTCAGAGTAACAGGAACCCTGTGACAGCATAACTTCACAGAAAGGAATTTGGTGTTATACCACTGATGTCCAAAGTGCACAGAGGTAAAACAAATCCACAAAACAAAGCTCTCATATCCTGTAAGAGCCAATTCCTTACACAGCCACTACATTAATTTTCTAAAATCCAGGATAAATATCACAGCTTACTGTACTACAAGAAAAGTCATCATCCTATTTCATGCCAGTATTTTAATAGCCTTTGTACTATTTGCAGCAGACATAACACGATGCCATATTTTCTTATCAGCAGAAAAACACCAAGAAAAAGAAACAAGAAAAAACCAGCCTCTGTGATGCCTCACAAAGTATTTTCTGTTTCAAGTTTTCCTCCAGAAAGGGAAGGTTGTCTGTACTCAGGCTGTGACAGATTTCAAAAACAGACTGTAAGAGGCCATTGCAATCTATGAGAAAAGGAAAGTCCTGTTAGTCATGTGAAGGGTGACCCCTGCATCCCTGCCCGGCTCCAGAAGCACAAACAATGACTTACCAGTGGCTACTCCCCACAGCCGCTCTTCTGGAATTGCAACATCTGATATGTAAAACCTTTTCCTTCCTCACTGATGAGGTTCTTGCTGGGGACCCTTACATCTTCAAAAAAGATCTGAGCTGTGTCTGATGACTTCATGCCCAGTTTGCCTATCTTTTTAGCAACATGAATACCTGAAGAAAGTATTAGAAAGGCCACCGAAAATACAAGTGGTATATACAAGTACAGCATTTCAAGAAAGTGAAGTTTGCAGATGTGAAGGTATGTGCCAAGACTACAGTGAAATCTGCCTTCAGGAAAAACATAACAGTATTCTGGAATTTAAGAGTAAAACAATCCACGTCCCATTTCCAAGAGCTTTTCTATTTTATTTAACTAGCAAAGCAGGAACTGCAATTGTAAGGGTCACACTTTTTATTATGTCCCCAAATAATAATTCTTTACTAGTAGTAATAATCTTACTTCATGCATGTCTTGAAACAATGCAATATTTATTTGCTTATGTTTGATTTTTAGTGCACTGTTATGAAATGCTGGAATTCAATTTAGCAGTATTTGCAGATGGCCTACACTGCTGTGAAACAGTAGAGAAATACTTAGCAATGACAAAAACAGAGCTATGTTTTAAGCTGCAACTAGAGAATTTCTCCTCCTGGAAATCCCACTCCTTTCCTCTCTTCCACATTTATCCTTCTCTTTCTAGTCTATCCTGATGCTTTCTGTAGAAGAGAGAGTTTATAATCACACTACACCAATTCGTCCTAATACAAACTTAGACTCAAATTCCTAATTGCTACAAACAGCAAACAATTCCGTACCAACTCCAAATTTTGCTAAAAGTATGTATTTTATGATGGCTTATAAAATATTGTTTAGTTAATCTAAGTAGTCATAGATGGGTTCATAATGATCACAACTGATACCTCTGAGTTTTATCATGGACATGCTTGTGAAAAGGGTTTGCTTCCCCACAGGCAATGACTGACCCCACATGCAATGGCCTGTTGGAGATGAACCTGGTTCCTTCAGGTTTGGCCATGTAAGACTTCAGCTACCTAGTCACATTTGGTCTTTTGTAGCCACAAGTTCTTCCTTGCTTTTGTTCAGATGGAAGTATGGCTTTACCACTGTCTCATGAGAGCTTAACAGACATCTACTGGTTTTATTTTTTAAAGTTTGGGTGGCAATTCCCTTGTCTTCAGTTTTCATCTCCTTGTTGCTCTGGGGCTGATGAGAATATTCAGGATAGGAGTCAAGAATGTTTCAGAGGTAAACTAAGGCCAACAATCAGGAATAAGAGTTTGAGCAAATCATGCTGATTACATCTGTAAAGTCAAGATATGTAGAAAAACAGTCCTCCAAGTCAGCACATGTCTTTGCAAAAAATGAAACATTTTATTACCCACATACATGGTATTCTAACCAGCTCTGTGATGAGGAGGTATTCTATTCTGACAATATTTTCCTCTTTATTCTTTTTTTTTTTCCTAGTCCTCTACTATTCTCTAACACAGCTCAGTAGGAGTTGGTCATTGCACAGACCGTTGTCAACTTTCATGGATATTAGTCAACATCTCTTTCTGAACTAATATAGACATCTCATCTTCTACTAACAGGAGGCCTTCAGTCATGTGAAAATTACTTTGGTTTTGCAGGCAGAAGTTGTTGGCAATCATTCCCTTCAAATTCACTCTCTCTGGCTGCACTGAATAAGGCTATGGAAAGTTTCACTCTTTTGCAGAGATTAAATACTAACACTATTTCCAAATGCCATGATTGCTCTCAGAGTAAGTCTGCATAGACTTCCACACCTTCCACTCAAGATTTTTCTCCACTGTCCAATCCATAAATGGATTATGTGCTAGGAATATTTGCTTTGATATGTGTTCAACACAGGAAGAAAATCAGGACAGCTGTGTAAAAATTTTTTACCCTTGGATTGAAAACTATCCAGCAATTTGCACCCACTCATACCAAAAAAACATTTGTGGTTTGTTTCTGTATTAAAATCAGAGCTAAACAAACACACTGAACCATTTACAGGCACAGATGATTTCTAGAACACCTTTTCCCATTGGATTACTGCTTGGTTTCTTTGAAAGTCTCAGAGATCATGTCTTTGGTCTACTTCTAGTTGGTTTTATGCAATCACTGCTCTTTGCCCATATGAAGATGTGCTTACGATCTGCCCAGATAACTCCTGGAGTTTGTCTGTATTAAATAAATAACAAGCAATAACACAGAAATCTAGCAAGGCCAAGAGCCTGACAGTTGGCATGCTAATAGAGCCATTTATGCTACTCACACCAGTATCACTGAGATGGATTACTATGTCTCTTTCTGGGCAGTTCTTTCCAGGCATCTTTGATTTTTCATTTTCTCCCACTCCTCCAGCTTTCTGACAATTACCTTACAAATGGAAACAGGCACATTTTAAATTGCAACCTGAGAAACATGCTCTTACCCTTGTCCTGGATGCTCTTCTCTTTATTATCTCCCCCTTGCAATCTACCCTAGTGCCATCTGAGGACCCAGAGGACAAACCACTGCACAAATAGTTGCAGGATTAGGGCTGCAAGCCATTTGTCTATATATATATTACTCACAGACATTCTACAACTTGTTAGATTCTCTTTCATCATATGAAAAATTAAGGTTGGGGTTTTTTTAGGACATCGTTATTATGAGGACTATTCACCCAATTTGGATATCTACCGTGAAACCACACTGCCATTCTCCAAATTCCTTTTGTGAGAAAGGTATTCAGCAGTGTCTGTCAAATCTAGGCCATGATTTACTTCACCCAGAACAGACACTGTACACACATGAAGCAAATCCTGCTTCATATCTCCAATAAATTACCAGCTGTTGAACTAAGTAATTCACTTTCAGACCTGGAACTTTTTTTTCCTTTTTTTTCTATCATCGTAAGTACGAAACAATTAAGGTTTACATGACAAATGTTGGACTAGTCTCCCATGTCTTTCCAGCTGCTAGCAAAGAATGAGTTACCACTGTGCCATGGATCCCTTTCTTACTGCGCCATACAGGCTGGTGACTGCGGCAGTTAGTCAGACATAACACACTCGTTCTCCACTGCATGCATTCTTGAGCTTTGACACACATACATCTACAGACGCTTGCTAGTGCATCATTCAGTGATGTCCTTCAGACACTTCCCGTACAGTCTTGGTCTGCTGCCCTCCAAGGAGCACCAATCTTTGGCAGACAGACATCCTTAGGATGTATCAAAACAGCCAGAGCTTCCTCCTCACATCTGTGTCAAATGGCAGCCTTTTTCACCCTTTTCCTCTTTATCTTCCTGAAAAAACTCCTTTCTGATATGACCCACCCAAAATCAACCATCTTAATATTTCATTTCGAAAGGTCACCAGTCTTGGTACAGCGACCCTTTTGGAAGCCAGTATCTGTATCACACAGAAAAAAGAAAGCTTATATACTTCAAGGAGTGCAATTTTTGTTTCTGGGAAGACTTCTACACTTCTGCAGATCAGCTTCAGGTGACTCAGGCAACTTTTCTACTTTCTAGAATCTATTTACTGCAGTAAAGAAGATCTATGTATAGGCTGCGTGATCTTAACAATACCCCCTGCCCCCAGCCTGCCAAGCTATAACAACTCATGTGTCTTTTTGGAATAAGCAAAGTAGCTGAAAACTTCCAAGTCAATTTCTGTATATTTGATCTGACTCTAACAGTGGGTTGGCTGCTTTGTTTTTGGAAAACTGATTTCTAAACTCTTTATTCTTTTATTTTCACATACTTGAGAATCACTTTCGATATTTTCTGGACAAGACAGCAAGCTTAAAAATACTCCTCTATTCACTGAAAAAAGAAGCATATAGGCTGTTTGTTAGTCCTCATACAAACCACGGAAGAGTTTAATACTGTTTTTGAAAAGTAGTTTAAAAACATTTTACATACAGTTCATGTGCAAAGGTCTATGAAATAATGTTATTTAGTTTACAGACTGTTTGCATCTTCTTTCTACCTTTTGGGACAGAAAACAAAGATAAAAATTTCTGTGGAACTTCTCCAAAACTAAAACACACTGAACGTTCTAACTTTAAAAAAAAAAAAAAGAAAAAAAAAAAGTCTTTGTTTTTAATGATTTCTTTAAGGCACAAATTTTGTCCTTGGCACTAATTTGTATATTCATTCTCACAGAAGGTTATGAAATCTTCCCATGCAAATGTATCTGAGCAACTTTTATAAATGTATTTTTGGAAAAAAGGACTCTCTTTAGTCTGTAAAATACTTAACTTTCTTCTTATTTTCTCCTGTCCCCTACTCTTTTTGGAATTGTGCAAACGGATTTCAGAACCAAATTTGTATGACAGTGAAGTATCTAACTTAGAAGAGCATTTATGGGTGCAGTCCTTCCTGTCAAACACCTTTCCTCCTTATACTGTCCATACTTAAAAATCAAATTAGAAAATCAAATTAGAAGAGAAAGAATTCTGTGTTATTACCAGGTAGATTCATTGGCAGACATATGAGATATTTATTTCGATGGGGAGGTCCTTCACTGGTGTTTGCCAGCAGGCACATCCAGTCCACTTGGCATCCAGACGTAGTCCACATCTTACCACCATTTATGATGTATTCATCGTCTTTTCTCACAGCTGTTGTCTTGATGTCTATTTCAAAACATACGAAATGAAGGGTTATTCTTGTGAAGGAGGGATAAGCTGGTCCCTGTACAACTGGCAGACTCACTCCTTTTCTCTCATTCAGACAACTAATGTTTGGTTCTCCCTTCATACCCCCCCAGGTCCTCTAACTCTACCAGGCTGCACAAAGCCTGGACAACTCTTGGAAGGCACATGAGGGAAACGAGACCACTTCTCTCACCCTCCTTTACATGGAGTCTTCATCCCTGTCGATGAAAGCAAAAAACTTTCCTTAAGTAAATTTGGTTGTCAAAAACTTGGGCCAGAAATATTTCAGTCTGAGGTGATGTATTATGCATTTCTGTAACTCTGTATGTTAGTCACTGAGCACGTCATTAATTTCTGAGTCCTGACTTAAACAAACATATGCCTCACTATCTGTGTATGCATAAAGATATATGTACATGCATTTCCTGCATGTTCTTGGTCAGAATAGTGTAATAAATTCAAAGCTAGTAAACTTCCAAAAAAACAAGTCTAAATGCTAAGAATGTCTTTATACAAAGGAGTTCCAAATGCCTGCTATTTATACCCCCGACAAAAAACAATCTGCTCTTCATCTGTGAGTGTTCACATCATGCTGCAAGCAGCCCTAGCTGCAATAGACAGCCAGAATGAATCATTACTTATTATTATTTACACACTAGCAGAATTTCTAAAGGGCTCGATTTTTACCTCTGTAATTGAACACCTTCAACTAAAACCCCGACTGAGGAAGACTCTCCAATAGATACCTAGCTATAAGTAAGTGATGGTATAAGAGAACCCTACTAAACTCCTTGTAGCACCTGTAAATCTAATGAGTCTCTGAAGTCCATAAGAGTTCATCTATTGAGGGAGGCAGCAGACTTGAGGGGTAAGAGTCAAGACACTAAGTAGAGTGGGGAGGCACATTTAGGTGAGCTGGCTATACCTTTATACACACCCATCTCAATCTGCACATGAACCTTCTTCCCAAAGGCTCTAATTATAAACCAAAGCAAAACCAAGTATCTGATCTTCATTTATGCCAAAACCAGCATGATTTACAAGACAAAGCAGGATTGAGGTCAGCATGGCTGAAAAGAAGTCTTTTTAATAACAGAACTGGGGAAAAATAGTGGGAGAATATTGCATAAAGTATAAGATAAGGGAATATCGGATATAGCTATGGCTAAAAGAATTTACAAGCAGATAATAATGAAAGGGAAAGAAATAGTACTAATGTGGATAAAAACAGCAGGCATATAGCTATTTCAATGAATGCCAAATCTGTCCAAGGGACTCGATACAAAATCTGTATAACAATTGGAGGCCAACAAACTTAAGAAACCTAAAGTACTGATAAAAGCTAATAATACATGAACACAGACACTGGACAAACATATACACAGGGACTAAATAACAAAAGAAGGACACACAAGAGCTGGGATAAGAAATGACACTGTACTGATGTAGCGTAGAAAAGATGGAAGCAATAACAGTGATTTACATCATGCATCTGTTTGTTGTGGAACAGCTACTGAAGAGATGAGACAGAGGTTCCATGGAAGGTCTGCAAAGGAACAATGAGCACTGTGATGTTATCACAAATGTAAACAGTTCTTGTGAGCATGGCGTCACAGGGGACTAACCACCCAAACACAGATTAAAGAACAAATGCCTTACTAATGGGAACCTTCAAGTACTCCCAGATGTGATAGCTGACAGTTTGCTTCAACCACTTGAAAAATGACTATTTATAATCAACTTATGAAGAGATATTTCTCTTTAATTAGAAGATAGATCAAGTAAATAAGTAAGTTTTATGTTTAAAATACAGCAGACTTTGAAAACCTCTTAACAATTTACCAAAATCAAGTGGACTGAGTCTCAGGGATATGGCTCAGAAGAGAATTTAATATTTGACTGTAATTATTCTCCCTGACAGAGATTAGCTCTGGGAAAAGGCTGCTTCAGTGGGTGCTCCATAACTTATATTTGGCAGGTCCACATCACTGTCCCTGTAGGGACTATATAACTCAGCAACTTACAGAGCACGCTGTGTGGGCCCCTTCCAGGAAAGGTGACTATCAAAAGGCTTTTGATACAGCTAGTGCCATATATAAGCAACCAGGGCTGGTCACTTCACCATTCAAGTCACAACATACTTGAATCTTAAGTTTTCTTCTGCACTGTGCTCTTGAGTCCAGCCATGCATCGAAATATATTTGACAAAAGACAAGGTTGGCATCAACTTTTAAGGTCAACATTACGATCAAAGATAGGCAACACACATCCTTCAAGTTAAAAAAAAAATAAAAAATAAGAACAGAAATCTGGGATTTACATCATCAGCACAGGAAAAAAAAACCCCAAACTTGCATGAAATAGCTTCAAGTCTAACTGGATGAATAATCACGTTAAAAAACAGGAGACGGCTTACAGGAAAGGAAAGAGATTAATCATCAAAGTAAGCTACGGTTTGGAGGTCAGAAAGTAAGAACTGCCACAGGTCAAACTAAATTAAGTCTTGCAGATGAAAACCACCAAAATTAAGTAAGATTTAGGTGGCAAACTGAAACGTTCCAGCTGCAGAAATGAATAGAGAATTAGAAAAAAAATGAGACATATAGAGAATGCCTCAAAACTAAAGAAATGTTTCACATGAGATTACAAAGGGATTCACAATGTAGCTGACAAAGCAAGACATCTACAGGAAAGACTGTACAGAAAGTAAAATTAGTGAAAAGAGAGGTTGTTGGTTTTGGCAATCTGCATGGTCTCAGAACAGATTTGGAAAGAAAAGAGAATTCAATTTACCATGGTCTCTTATTTAAAACCAGCCTGATTTGTTTGTTATGAAAATGGATTTTCTACAGAAAGAATGGAAAAAATTCCTATTGGACTCAATCAAACTAAAATTGATGCTACTAGGTAACTATGAATTAAAACTTTGAAAAGATAAGAATTAGGACAAAAGTGGAAATGTGGGCAAGGAACTTGGCAAAGAGGAAATTGCATCAGGTTGCATTAAAAGAGGAAGTACTGATATGCAGGGAGGTTACTACTGGAAATCTTCCTTGGTTATGAGCCTTTGGACAAAACCTATTGAATATTTCCATTCATGACCTTTAAAAGAAGAAAAGAAATACGCTAATGAAATTTGTTAGTGACACAAACTTGAGAGACATCACCAGCAAGAAAGGAATGATCTTGGGTTTTCAATTTCAAGACACAAAGTACAAGTAATTAGGCACAAAGTAATAAGAATGATTGCTATTATCTTACAATGTTTCAATAACAAACCAATGATGAAGATAATCTGCATATTTAATCATAAAATTCACAAGCCAGCAAACTTGTGTAACATTACGTATTAGAGGGTAATACTTCTATCAGGGTTGGAGAAGTATAGACAGTATGTGCAATTTTAGTTTTTCAAGCTTAAAAAAGATTACCTAAACCGAGAAAGACAGAAAGAATGGATTCCATAGAGACAAAAAGGGGCAAGATGTCTATGCTGAAGAGGTAGACATCAGCAGGGTTAGTTGGGGTAGTTGCCTGGAAGACTTAACTTGAAGAAAGAGGAGGTGTCTTCCATGATGTGTTCTTACATGTTCTCCACAGACTACCAGCAAAACATTATATAAATTATGGAATAATAGCGAGATGAGACAAAATCATTAAAACGGACAAAAATATGTATGCTTTGTGGTGCCAAGAATCCTGAAGTTAAAAAGAAACATTTTCTATGCTAACTGTTCCGTACCGTTCTGCTTCTCAAGTCATTTCTGTGCTAGTTTTGTTGTACATGGTCAAAACTATGTTGAATATACAACAACTACATTTGAAAGCAGACAGGTGCTCCTTCAAATTGACTTGAAATTTACATTAGACTAATATATACTAGTCCTTTTTGTTCTGTTGAATTTTCAATAAACTAATTCCAGACACCTTTCACTTCTCACGTAGTGAACACTTCTTCTTCTTCTGTGTTCTCATGACCTTCAGTAATTTTGGAACTGGCAGAAGAAAATACTAGAGATACCTTACTCTCTGTCATTCTTCAGTTTAAAATACACCGGCTCACATGGCAGCAGTATGTCCCCAGCCTTCACATGTGAGTAGCTGCTATGCTTTACTACTCCTTCACTTATCTAAGGGAGATAAACCTCCCAACAGCAGGAGAAACCAACCAACCAACCAAGTGCAGTTTGGCACTGTTCAGTCTACTTCAAAGCTGGGCCACCTAGAGATGATATATTCCCTCGGTCTGTGCAAACAAGTGCTACTCAAAACATAAACTAGTGCTGCTCACACCTAAATTGCCCATTTAATTACCCTTTAGAAGCATTGTAAGCTGGTTTCTGGATTTATACCAGAGGTCAGATGTTCCATGACAGGTGAAAAAGTATCTTTCCATCCTGCAGTCTGCCTCCCAGCTGCAGTCTGGGTTCAACAGATAATCCTTGTTGATTCCAAATTTCTCTTTATCCATATCAATCCAAGTGTATCATACCAATTAAACTAGATGATAAACAATATGCAGGTAAAAGAATATTTATGTTACTTATTATCCATAACACTGCATCAAAAAATTAAAATCATATTTAGAAAGTTCAACCATTTAATTAGAGAGGTATTAATTAAAAGTAAATGATGTTGTAATTCCTACATTAGAAAAACTCAAATTTAAAATTATTTTAATGAAAAACAATATTATGAAAATCATGGATTTTTTCTTATGAACAAAATCAATTAAGTAGAAAGGAAAGTGGCAATGGATCATGCAGAAAGATTTAGTCTCATTATTTCATTATCTCCCTTAACTCTCTTGCATACTACCTGATACACCCTTGCCCTGACACTGAATAACTCTCTGTCTGTCTTGAGAAAACAGCTTGAGTTTGGTCAAAGAGATGGACATAGGACTCTGCTGATCAAAAGCTGCAGTCAACTCAGTGATTTTGTCTTCAAGAAGACGTCTCTGCAGTTTGTAAGAGCACAGTGTGTTCAACTTAGCCATCCTGTGTCCAACAACAAAACCACTGAAAGTGGTATCTTGTTGCTCCCTTCTCCTTGAAGTCCATGTTTCACAGTCAGATGAGACATCTTTCACTTTTTTGTACAATATCTCTTAATTTAATTGTTCAAATTATCTACTGCCTCAGGCACTTCAGAATTCTAGTTTCATTTATCAGTGTTTTTAAACATATTCTTCCACTAAACCAAGAAAAATAGTTGCATGTGAAGTAACTAAATCACAAAGATAATAGATTTGACACGGCAAATTCTTCGTTAGCGGTAAAGAAAACAATCACCAGTTCAGAGACATTTTTGCTGCACATGAATGACAGAAGGGGATGAGATGAGGCCAGAATGAGCGAGAGGAATCCATTGTGAAAGTGATGCCATCATTTTCAGAATGGACTAGCTCTGCAATTCACCCACATTCAGTGGTGGTATCTGTTTTAAGGAAGTGCAAGTTTTAGTACAGTTGAACAAGGCTACACCCCTATCATGTACGTCTGCAGATTTGTACAACTGGTGATGGCTGTGCAGCTACAAAAGTTGCCGGAATGCTCCCTGCCTTAGACAGAACAGGGAGGCAGAAGCAGCAGGGCAAACACTAGGATAAAATCCAGGGCCAGCATGTCAGCTGCATATTTATCTGTTCCACTCAGCCTATACAGTGTTATAGCTATCGATTCATTGACAAATACATTCTATTGCTTTTGGATGCATTCAAGGCATGCGTTACTGCTCCTAGAATCCTACTTTTTGCTCTCAACATAGCAGTCTTTCCCTCCTTTGTATTTCTTACAGACAGCAGCAAATGGAAGGGTCAAGGAAACCAGATTCCTTCCTTTAAAATACCAGGTTGTCGAAAACTGGCAATTTGCTAGGTTGACTTACTTGTGACATCTGACCCAGCTCCAGTTTCACCAATTCCCATGCAAACTACAAAATCTCCAGCTATAGTTGGTATGAGGAACCTTTTTTTCAACTCATCAGAACGAAACCTGCAACAAGATAATGAAAAAGATAGGATATTAGGCACTTTTGAAGGTAAACTTTATTTACAAGTTAGTTATAAATCTTGTTCTACCCACACAGTGACCGATTTTCTATGACGAGGTAAAACCTGTCCCAGAGCCAAAGAGAGAATAGATACCCTCCAAAGTTGTGATTCAGAGCCTTCACCATAAGTCAAGCCACAATAATTTTAAACAAGGTTTTTACAAGTATTCAGGCATTTTACTCCCACAGAAATGTGTGGTCTAGATGCCCCGAATCTCATCTTTAACTGTTGTTTTGAGAGCTATCAGATCTAAATAAACATAGTCCCTGGGGTTTCTCCTCAATGCTGTTGCTCCAGTCTGCAGTCAGCCAGGATGGAGGACCTGCTCTCTGTGTATCTTGTGACTTTTGCACCAGCTCTTTGCCAGGTTTTAGTAGTGACTGAAAAGTTATGACAAATGATGGCCACTTTCTGCAAATATCTGTATTTACACCATTACTATTATGCTATAACTATTACTATTCCACATACGCATTTAAATCACACAGTGAAAACCATCAATGCTGCTTCTCATTGGTTCTTTTAGTTCCCTGCAAAAATAAAAAGTAAACCAGCAAACTGCTGATGGCATTTTAACACAAAGAATTCACTTGTCCGTATTTCAATTCAGTTAAGAGGCACCCTCTTTTTTTCAGTGGTTAGCTGCTTTCATCAATTCAAAACATAGTCTGTCTCATTTCACATTTTATTTTGTCCTAATGAACATTCACTGATTTGGTCTTGCAGTGTGAGTGGTGAGCTTGTGATCTAGTTCTTGAACCTCTCTTGTGCTAGACTTAGGACATGAGATGTCTCTTCTGTGAGCAGAAACCCATGAAAGTCAAGTGCCAACTCAGCCTCCTCTTCAGCACGAGGCTTCTCAGGTCAGCATCTCCACTCATCTCGTAGGCTCTTTGGCTGCCCAAACAGACTGCAGATACCTGGGCCCTTCTTCTACAACACTACTTCCAACAGAGCAATGCCGTTTTAGCTAAGACTGTCCTTTCTCCTCTGCTCCAGCCCTGACACAAAACAGTCAAAGGTCACAGGATGGTAAGAGAACAGACTAGGAGCTGACAGACACTTTGAGTTTGTGCACACAGGGAGCTCAACTTCTAGTCCTGTCCCTGCTGATAATCACAGCAGCAAACCCAAACAAATACAAGCAGCAATCTTTGAGTGTTTACTCCTTCCTCCAGCATACTGGGACAAAGTCCCCTCATCTGTTACGTTTTGGGTTTTTTTTCTTTTCCTCAGGACATGATCAAGTAAGGCCAGCTGAACACTAATTAGACAAAAAAACTCCAACCAACAACATGAGAAAACAGATTATGAAAGCAGCTAGCAGGATTTTTGGCAATGCTTTCTGATGCTTAAAACTTTGCCAACCTTTAGTTATTTCAGCAGAGGATTTCTATGACAATAACTTTTCTCAGACTATTGGTTTGGTTTGGTATCTTTCGTTGTTTGGTTTAAATTCCAGAAAACTTTTTTTAAGGCTACAAAATATGATCTTTCGCAATTAAAAAAAAGAGTTTGGCAACACTATCTTCAGAAGATCATGAGTCTCTGTGCCTTGCAGGAAGGACATGCAGCTCAGCAAGCAGCTAGCTATTGTGTTAGAAACACGTTGCTTCTGTAAAATTCTACCCATCTTCAATGCAACCCAGAAAAATCTCAGGTCTGCATAAATACGCACTTCTTTCCAGTTTAACAGCTTCAGAATTAGAAAACTCTGTTTGCAATGAGATCATGCTCTGGCTCAAGACAGAGCAGACTAGGTCTCCCCTCTGTGCTAGGGCTATGCCCCAGAGCATAGTTTCCCATGTGATTAACTGTGCAGCCTTAGCATTGCTCTAAAATATATTTTCATGCATGTGTGTATGTATGCACACACACCTACAGTCAATAAACTGGAGCTCCTTTTTGATGCTGATTAACCAAGAAGTCCCAAGTGTGAGATTCTGACACAGTACAAGTTGCATTGAAGTGGTCCATCCTTTCTTGCTCCACACTTTATAAGTAACATTGACGGAATGTCATGAATACAAACACAAAAATGACAGTGGTATGCAAAAATGTCAATGATGGGTAAAAGGAAAATAAAAACATAGCAAAATACAGATGTAAGAACACTTTCTTGATCCACATAGTTCTGTTTATGTGCTCTGACAATTAGAAATTTGAACTCACCTTTATATATCTCAGATATACATATACAAATCTGGTTTCCAGCAGATTAGATTGCTATATTGAATGAAAATGTCCATTCCACATCACTGTTCTGACTTAACTGGACCGATAATCAACTTGGTAGAACCGTAGATCTTACTCACTTTTGTTTCTTATGCTTCTGGGGAATAAAGCTGAGCTGAAGTGAATTAATTAAATTAGTAACAAAAATTCTAAGTAAAAATGGCAGATTTTCTGTAGTATGACACATTATTAAGTGCAAATTGAAAATCTGACTCTGAACAGCTGCAGGCAGTTCTAACATAATTCTCAGTATTTCACTAACTCAAGCTTTCTTGCACTGGAGCTCATAAATTTGAGCACTATTCACCGCGAACATGGGTGGGTGTGTGTGTGTGTGCAGACAGAAGTTTTCAGATTATCTATACACTATTCTACAGTATCTCAAAGATGACACAATAGTTTCCTCATGGACTTCCTAGGAATATAAAGATTTCCTTTAAGCAAAGAGAAGGTAACTCTGACCTACAGTTACTTCTTACGTACTAGCAAGAGGTGAATTTCTCCCAATTCTGTTTTTCTGTTCTGCTCCTAGCTATTAATAATGCAGTAACCACATGCCATGCTTTTGCTTCAGTGTAGTACTGCACAGTCATCCTACCATCTGATGTCCTGATCCAGCTTAGCAGTACTCCTTGGATCTTCAGGATACAGGAAAAAAGACAAGGAAAAAAAAAAACCCCGAAAGGGAAGAGACCCTCTTTAAAGGCACAGAAAGGGTTAGAAATGCATGGTGAATAGCAGCAAGCACCCTTGGGCAGCATGGAAGCCTCATTAGGTTCAGTAATTTACACAACCTGCGTTTAAAAGAATACATACTGCAGTCAGCTTTCTCTCCTTGATTCCCTATCTCAGTTAAGAAGACACGCAAGCTTAAAAACCCCCACATTTAGAACACTTACTTACCTTCTGTGAAAAACAGCATAAGAAAAGTGCTCTGACTCCCAGTTTTTATCAAGCATTTAAGCTTCAGTTATTCAAAGCTTTTATGAAATAAATTGCTCAGTTCGAGATATTGCTATGTTCTGAAAAGAATGCAGATGAGAAGCCTGTAGGAGACTACCTGATAGGTATGGCTACCTCATGCAGATGGGACTGCCTGAAGGGTTTTGGCTAAGAATGATTACATCAATCTTCTATTTATTTAGGAATGTATTATGTACTAAAATGCAGGTATTGTAGCAGAGTAATATTAACAATTACTCTCTTCAGATCATGCAGTTTGTAAGAGCTACTCACATGCCTGGTGTCCTGCTGCTACCACACCAGCTCTCAAGGCTGCCCATCAGACAATGTGCCACCATCGCATAGCCAGGCTGTCACCAGAAGCTCGAGAAACCTCAAAGGTATAGGAATAGCAGGAAGCTGTTTCAAGGAAAGCTAGTTCAGAAGCAGCTGCTTGACATCATATTGCTCTGACCAGGTTAGACCTTCACAAGTATTCAAACTCACAAAGCAGCAAACTGGCTATGGCTGCAAAGTAACTAGCCACCACAGCAGTAATGCTTAATGATATGTTGAAAGCTGCACCTGTAACAGTCTTTGCTCTGGCTTACCTTACATGTGCTACACAAATTATGTACTAAATGCGAGAATGAGACAGATCAGTACGTCTCTTACTGAAGAGGCAGAAAACCAACCCTCCCTTATGCTATGCCAGTGGGAAAGCTGCTCGGCTTTGGAATGGCATCCCATTTTCACCCTTTTGCCAGATGATCAAGTGGATGATCCTCCTTTTCAAACCTACTGTTCCAATTGTCAGCCTTAGCTTCTCTCCTTTACAGCAAATGGGAAAAGAGACAGTAAAACTAATTTTTTTTATATTTACTCTCAGTTATGCTGCTGTTAGGGAGAAGAAAGAATCAGTAATGAGTAAGCTGATGAAATAGAAAAGTACTCTCTTACCACTAAATAATCATCATTATTATTTATTTCCTATAAATACTAGGAGAAAAAAAAAGTGTAACACCTACTACCCAGATAAAAGAGCTTTACACTGATCTGATATCACTATGTGTCACCCTATAGGTTTTTTAACAAGCCCAGGGAAAAGTATTTCATTCACTGCCTTAGCTGAGAGCTGCTTTTTCCACTCCACTTGCAAGCATGAAAGCAAGTGAAGTATTATATCTGAATGCATTTGAAATACCTGAAAGAGAATTATGTTCAGAACCAGGTATATCAAAGGTCAGATTGCTGCTGACGAAACATTTTGCATTTAGTTTAGAAAGTGCTATTGCTTCACTGAGAGGAATCGGGATGGGGGTGGGGGAGGGTGGGGAGAGAAGGGAAAATGAAGCAGTCTGAGCATCTTCAAGTGAAACAAAACTATTTTCTCCTCTATCTGTCTGCATAATAGAAATGCATATAAATCAAAATCTGCAGGGTTTCTTCTAAATATGATTGTGGATATAACTTTCTGAAGATTGTAAAAAAATCATAACAAATGAAGTAAAAAGGGGCAGGATCAGTGAACAGGCAAACAGACACAGGTAACATTTTCAAAATGTATTATTTATATAAATTAAAACTGTTACTACAATCTACTTCCCATTTTAGTGAATATCTCAAAGACCTTCACAAGGTCTTGGAATAGCTTGTCACTGAAGTGAGAAACACAAGGAAGCCAACAATGGGCTCCAGACTTCTTTTTTGGAGTTTTTTTAGGGGATGATGGTTGATTCCCATATTACTGTTTACTTTGTGCATCGTTGATGCATCATGTGTAACAATGTATAGGTTGAGATGTGAAATTTGGATTATCTCTTTGAATTGTTTAGGATCACCACAGCACACAGATACCTTTAAAGAAGCCATTCAGGTTGTGAATGCAATTTGAATCCATAACCCAGGATGAGCAGTTATCCCTTTCGCTATATGGCATGAAGTAAAGCTGCACCCATGCAAAATTTCCTGCAGCAACTGCCTTTTTTCATTTCCAACTGTCATTTTTACATCTTAAGAGAGGTAAACTGCACGGTATAAGTAGTCAGTGGAATTGACATAACAGTGGAGGAAAAATTCATCGATACAGATGCAAATTCAATTACAGATTTCATCATGTTAAAAACATTTTCACATTTACTTTCCAAGAACATCCCCTTTAGGATTTTACTAGCACAGATGTACATAGATTCACTACTTTACTACAGCAGAACAGAGTAACAGAAGGCCAAAATATTGCAGTGGAAAAAAAAAATCATGTTTTCTTTTGCCCACACATTTTTTTAAAGCCCTAGGAATAAACAGCTATCATAGGGACAAAATACTGTTCTCTGAAGTCTTTTAAAGTACTACTTTTATTCTCAGTTGAACTATAGCTAAGCTAGTTCTGAAACAGACATACTGAACTCCATGCTTTCAGCAGGTTTTTGGTATATTACACAAAGGTGAAGAAACTTTTGGAAAGATTTCCCATCACTGAGACCTCCAAAGACCTTGGAAGGATAAATGGATACCAAGGGAACAGAGTCTACATTCCAGACCATTCGATAAAACCACCAACGAGCAACCCAACCCTAAAATGCTCTTCTGTGCAAAAATTTCCCTCGTGTATATCTGTTTTGTGCAGAGAAATTCCTGACTTCATCATCATTATTTGAATTTAATCCCCAGCCCCATCTTCCAGAATTGTAGGCGTATCCATATTCCAGGGGCAAACTGCTGGACCAGCCTCTCACCTCCCTGTAGTTCTGCAAACTGCTGTTTCAATGCAGAATGTCTGTGAAACTACTACATGAAGAAGAAATTGGTAACTGCCACTTCTATTGAAGGAGGAAAAAACCCCAACAGAATAGATTCAGAAAGTGCAGGAGCCTGAATGAAAGCAAATGATGAAAGGGGAACACTGACACAAGCAGATGAGAAAAAGCAAAATGAGTAATTGCCTAGAATGGGCATATTTAAGAAGCATTGGGACTCACACCAATACTGACCATTACTTCTGAAAAGACACAGTCAGCGAGGAACACCTTGTAAAGCTGGAAACCAGCAAGTAAATTATAAAATAGAATTAGACTGAACCTAATCATTACAACCAAATACATTCTTAGTATGACTGCAGTGGGATCTCTGGCTAAGAAAGAACACAAACATGAATAGGGGATTCTGGAATTAAAATGGTTTTATTGGTTCTGGCACCAAGGTTCTGTTTTGTAAACATATAATCTACTATTCAATAAGGCCTATATTGTAATATGTAACATTCTAACATTTAAAAAAATAAAAAATAAAAATTATTTTCTCCCCTAAACCAAACAGAGAAGTAGAGAGTAGGTTCCTTTCTGAAGCATTACTGAAGAGCAACTACACATTAAATCCGCACAGTAATGGTGTTTTTTTCACTACTTTTATACAGATTGGGTTTTAGGCCAAAACACATGACTACTTCGGTTTTAGCCTGAACCAAACTTCTGAAAATTACCTTGTAAGAGCAGGAGTAGCCATGCCAGCTTGCGCTCCAATAGCCATATGAATACCTCCACAATGGTGTGTCCCAGCTCTCCTGCCACTGCAATGCTATAGGAGAAGTTCAAGTCCATGCTGCCATATTCTGAGGAGAAAAAACCTCAAACCTATGACACTTACGCTTTAGACTGGCATAAGAAACAAGGAAAAAATAAAATATTGAAAATATTGCTACTGCAAGGATTTGCCAACTGCAATTTCATTGCTAAATTTCAAAATATTTGACAATTATCATCAGCTTTCTTTTCAGAAAAGCAATGTCATGCTGTTCTTTACAAAACTGAATTTAAAATTACACCCGATCTAATTACCTGTGTGCACATCAGGTCACTTCAGAATGTCCTAAGTAGCATCATTATTTTTACTGGAAACAGCAGGGAAAAGTGACATGCTGCCGAAAATGACACCAGAAGGCAAAATTATTATTTCTAACAGCAAGGTCATATGAAGAAATAACTACAAGGTAATAAGTGCTTTTATTTTGCCATGATAATGCCTGACACCCACTCTCACCCCCAGTGCACTCAGGCAGACCTCATCTTCCTCACACACTGCAGTCTAGTCAGCACAGAGCAAGACCATGTGCAGGTCACGTCCCTACATTAATTTACTGTCATAGCTCAAAATCCACAATAGACACAAGTACAATAGTGAACACGTGTATTTTGTATCCTGGGACCTGGCTGGTGCAGTCATTAAAGCATTTTTCATTAGCAGGAGGCTGATGACCTGGGATGCTGGCTGGGCACCAGCACAGGCTGCTCCTCCTCCCCACATTCCAATCTGCAAATTCAATTAAAGAGGGTATTATTCTTCACCCCCTTCTCATGCCCAGCACTGTTAAACCCACCACGTAGTGAAACACAGAAAAGGGCTACATTACTGTGATGGATGAGGTAATTTCTATCTGTATTAAATAGTTTACAGTCCAAAGGAAATACAGCGAGAAAGAGAAGGTTACTGCTTGACGTCATTAGTTGACTGAGAAGCTGTGATTAGATAACGTTTTCCTTCTTTTTTGTTTTGAATCCCTCCCCCTCGCCCCCCATTTGGAGACCAACTAAGAAAATTTCAAATAAATAGATACCACCCGCCACCCCTCACACACATAATAAGGGGCAGACGACCCTCTCTCCATTTTCACTTGCTCACATCAAACACTGTCTGAGCTCAGCCCTCTACTGACCTGCTTTGAAGTTTTCGAAACCCACCATTAATTAAAAATCAAAACACCACAGTGCACATAAATACAGGGCTTTGTGTGTTATCATCTGTTTCCGAAACCCACAGAAACTATCTTTGTGCATTCTTTTTCTGCAGACAGAAAGGAAAACACAAATGGAAAAGGCTAAGTGTGAAGTTCGATTTTCAAATAACAGTTCTCCTAAGGTCATCCTGAATAGTCTGAATTAAAAAAAAAAAAAAAAACAAAAAAAACCAAACAAACAAACAAACGAAAGGAAACCCAACAACTTTTCCAAACTAACTTTTATCTGAAAATAAAGAATGTTTCTTAAAAATATACACAATTTTTTTTTTTTTTTCTGGGAGCTTAAGCAGTTCAGTGAAACAACAGCAATACGGGAATGTGTTTATCATAACAATCCAATTCCCTTGCCTTTACAGATTCCTCATCAATAAATAAATGCTCTGAGGAACAGTAAGGAATGTATGTGCAAGCAAAGGCAAGTCTATTTAAAGATGTGTGGTATGAAAGAGTTTTTGCTAATTTTATATGAATCTATAGCAGAGTTATAACAGATAACCTCAGTTCTGGCATTGCACAAAATACTTTCCATTTGCTTTTAATTTTGTTTTTAAACAGTCAATCATTTCATTGGCAAACTACAGTTACTAATAATTTTGTCTTTGGTTTTGTCTACCAAGCAGTTATACTCCTGTGTTTCACTTAATTTTACTAATCAAAACCATTGTTTCTTGATTTACTCAGAGCAACTTCACAGGAGGAATTCTATGCACAAAAGTGACCATTTTAGGCAAATGTATGGCTTACATACATTGTTTGTTCATATCACGATTCATTATATATTACTATGTAACAGCCTTGCCTGGCTTTCATTTAAGTTTAGGCACTAAGCACTACATTTTAAGAACAAAATGCTGCAAAAGGCCAGTTCTCAAAGTGATGATACTGAAAGAATTTCCTATGAAAGGGAGGAAACAACCAGAATGAAGCCTCAGGAGCTGAGAACAAGTAGAAGGGGGAAGCCCTGCCAGGCAAAGAGATGATGCATCCTCCAAAGATTTTTATAATCTGGGGATAGATAACGCAAGAGACAACCACAGATGCAGGCCAGCAGGAAGGGCAGAAGCAAGTGGTAAAAGCATTAATCAGACAACACATGACCTTTCATCAGCTCTCTTCCAGGAGCCAAGGAGAAAAATTTTCATGGAGAAGTGTGAGTGCTTTGACGTAAGATTATTGTGAACACCTCTTCTGAACCCAAAGACCTTGACTGAGACAAAGATTCAGTTGTCAGTGAAGTCTATGCAGCTATATCCCCAAGTAATTTGGGTACTGATGCCATGGCTAAAGACAGTTGTGTCTGATGTCTTTGGAGAACTGGATCTCTGCACCAAGACATGCTGCCAGCAGTCACACAGAGCAGTAGCAGGGAGTGCTGGCTCTGGACACCAGTGCAACTTTCTTTTCTCCCCAGCACATAGTGGCAGTCTGGCTTTCACAGCCCTGCTGTGGGCACTCCAGACAGCTATTCTGAGGCTGGTCCAGCACATCACCCTGCATGCCACTGGACTCAGTTCTTAAACTGAGACAAAACCATCATGCCATTCTTATTTCCACCTGCTGCAGCGATGACGGTGAGTGTTTTACTGACTGAATGTTTGATTTTTATTTGGTATAAGACTTCCCCTTCTTCAGATAACTCTCATTTGCAACAAGGGAATAAGCTGGTGGCAGGAGGCTCATGTTTGCCAGTCTCATCAACAAACACCACATCCTGGGAGTATCTGTACAATGATGTACTGCTAATAGGTCAATTTAATTTTCATTTAGAGAAGTAAACACCATGCTTAATATAATTTGTGGTGAAAAAACCATAATGAAAGGAACCAAACCAATTTCAGATTTGATTGTTTGGGGTTTTCTTAAAGAACTACAAGCTATACGTAAATATTCATGTGAAAAACATTTCCAGGGTAAATATTTCATTTAACTTTAAAACGAGATGAGTGACCTTTAGAAGATTGTTTGGCTATACCTCCATTTTTAATTTGCAAGAAGTATTAACATTTCTTATTAAAGAGAATGAAGCAAAGCAAAACTAGGCAGAAAGTCTAATGTACTAATGCTTTTATAATGCAAAACACGTAGAAAAAGGCAACTCTGCTATATTAAAATTGTTACTGTTTTGATGACAGCAGCATAATTTCCATCTGTTAAACGGCTTGATTTAGTATTTCATCCTTTGTTCGATTTCAGGTTCTTTTACAAAGAAATTAAATTATAAACCCAAAAGCAAGAACATATGAACATGTAAATAAATAAAAGATTTTGCACTGCAGACCATGGGCAGGATCCATGGTGGACTAGAGGAAAAGCATGAGGAGAAAGGAGCAGCAGAGAGGAGGTACTATTGACTGACTGCAACCCCTTATCCCTATCTTCCTGAGCTGCTTGGGATAGGGAAGGAGGTAGATGACTCAGGAATGAAGGACTGAAGCTGAGCCTAAGAAGAAGGGGAAGAGGATGCAGGGAATATGTTTTAATTTACAAATGTTTCTCACTACACAAAACCATTGTAATTGGCAGCAAATTGAATTAATTTTCTCCAAGCCAAGTCTGCTTTGCCCATGACAGTAACTGGTGAGCAGATCCCCTGACTTTATGTCAAGAGCTGAGCCTTGCATTGTATTTTCTCCCCTGCTCAGTTAAGGAGGAGTAAGCAGCTGCATGGGTGTCTGGCTCTTGGCCATGGTGAACCCACCACACCACAATCAGTGTATTAACCTATTTTTCTTTTAAATTAGCTCTGTACTTTTCTACTAATCACCACTAACATAATTTTACACATACCCCCCAAAAAAGCTTCCTATTTTATACATATCGGCTTGTTTCTACGTGTTAAGTTTGTGATGCTGCCAGTGGAATGGGAATCCAAGAGAAAACGGCAAGTTTAAAAAAAAACATCAGTTTTAAAAGATGCAGATGTACATTCTACAAAATCTGATAATTTGGAGTATCGGGACTTTTATATTTGAATACAGGCAGGCAGCAAACATGATGTGCAAAAATACAAATAAAAGAGCATGACTGTCTGATCTTCATCTGCAACATGTCAAAATGGAAACACTGAGAAGATCAGTTGGGAGAACAAAGGTGATCTGGGCCTTCCGGGTGACTCCCCCCAGTTTATATACTGGGCATGATGTGCTGTGGTATGGAATACCCCTTTGGCCAGTTTGGGTCAGGTGTCCTGCCTCTGCCTCCTCCCTCTTCCCCTCCCCCCTGGCAGAGCATGAGACTGAGAAAGTCCTTGGTCAGAGTAAACATTACTTAGCAACAACTAAAAACATCAGTGTTATCAGCGTTGTTCCCAGACTGAAAGTCAAAAACACAGCACTGCACCAGCTACTAAGAAGGAGAAAAAATGACTGCTGTGGCTGAACCCAGGACACTTGTTCAGCTACAGCTTCCTTGTTCAATTATGAGACAGGCCTGAAGTCTCTAGTCCAAGTTTTCTAACAGTTTAGAAGTTTCTCTATTTGGAATTTGTCTCTGAACCTCATCTAGTAGCTGTCAGTAGGAATGACTATTTGTGTTGAAAAGGGTCTACAGGTGAGTTGAAGCAAGGTCAAACAGGGTGCCTTCAGAGTGTCTTACAAGTGTGAGTGAGCCTGGAAAAAGTAATGGAGAAAAAACCATACAGCTGCATCAGTAACTCATTCATAGTATCATAGAATGGTCAGGGTTGGAAAGGACCTTAAGATCATCTAGTTCCAAACCCCTTGCCATGGGCAGGGGCGCCTCACACTAGACCATGTTGCTCAAGACTCTGTACAACCTGGCCTTTAACACTGCCAAGGATGGAGCATTCACCACTT